ATCAAGTGTGTTAATTGTTGTACATGACAATGTGGATAATGATTTGTCTTTCATTTTGTGAAAATCAAGCAATGAAGAGGTGCTATCAATTGTAGATGTTATGACTATTGGCGGTGTTAGACGAGTGCCACACGACCAGTATTTACTGTGATTCGTCAGTATTTATCATGGAATGTGATAGTTATATTGACCGCCAGGACTTCAGTAATTATTGATGTATAGGATTACGTAGAAATCCACTGACACTCACGGAATGATTAGTAAATACTGATAGTACGGACCACAGTAGAGGTATAGCTTATTGCGTCATCACCTACAAGAATCGGCCGACATTAGGAGCTTTCGAGAAGTGTTGATTGACATCGTCTAGAACTCCGTTAAAGCGCTGGAAGGTTCTGGATTGTCCAGGGTTTGAACATAAATAGGGGCTAGGACGGCAGAATGGAGTAGTGCGCGGAATCAGTCGACATAGTCATAAATTTGTATTAATTAATTACAAGCGGTGTTTTAAATTAGTGTGAAGGTAATAAATTAGACTTTAAGCAGTATTGAAAAGGGGTTTTGTTATAATATAATTAGTTACAAGCGGTGTTTTAAATTAGTGTGAAGGTAATAAATTAGACTTTAAGCAGTAAGGGGGTTTTGTTATAATATATGTATATACCATCGCATTTCCCTTCTCTATGCTCATTCAATAACCAATTATTATTATATATTATACTTTTCTTTGGCTTATGGCATGGTCGCATGGTTCTTTATCGCCGCATAATGTTCTTATAGTCTAGTCAATATGGAAAATGGATTTTTTCATGCATTCGGTGAAATTCAATAATAGGCTTAGAAATACACATGAAGCTAATCTCGATTAAAGATGATATCATGATGATTATAGATTGTTGTGGTATTGTTGGTTGTGCTTTTTCACATTTCATTGAGTTTGGAGCTGTCCAGCATTTTTTCAGTCAAGTATGAGACAGTTTCCTCTTCTGTGGCCATTCAGCATTTCAATCCTTGGTGCCGCACTCATCCAATAATCAATTTTACTTCTCTTTGGCTGTACGGCATGATCCTTCATCACCGCATAACGTTTTATTATACTGTGGTCGGCACCGCAACAACGTGAACAATATATATATATATATATATATATATACAGGGTGACTTTGAAGTTGAGTCATTAATTTTCAGATAATGATTGTAGAAGGAAGATAAACCAAAATATGTGTGTAAAAGTAAAAAAAAAATTACCTTGTTTTATAAAGTATCCTCCCGACAAGTATTTCAGTGCGGACCTGTATTTGATCGTGAGGTCTTGGAGCACCGGCATGCCGTCCCCTGTGAGGTCTTAAGTCACCTGATTCACGAGCCCGTTGTACTACATTAACAAAGGCACGAGGGTTTGGTTGCACTTGATTGGGAAACCGATCCGCATAAACATGTGCCATTTTTTATTTCGTTTGAGCCACGCAACAAACACCACTATTCACTCACGCGTTACTGACTGAATAAAAACATCGTTATCAGCGTTTCAAATTCTTTCGCTTTTTTGTTTCCGATGAAATAGCCCTTTGGAAGTTCGTGTACCGCCCTGTCTCAATAATAATATTATGTGCTCGTGTTTGGCGACAACGGATATAATCCGCCTTATCGGTTCATCGCATCGGAAACAAAAAAGCGAAAGAATTTGGAACGATGTTTTTACAATTATTTGTATACAGTCAGTGTCAGTCGGTAACGCGTGAGTGAATAGTGGTGTCTGTTGCGTGGCTCTAACGAAATCAAAAATGGCACATGTTTACGAAAATGCTGAACTTGTGGACATGCGGCATCACGGATTTATGCGGATCGGTTTCCCAATCGAGTGCAACCAACCCCTCGTGCCTTTGTTAATGTAGTACAACGGGTGACTTAAGACCTCACAGTGGACGGCATGCCGGTGCTCCAAGACCTCACGATCAAATACAGGTCCGCACTGAAATAATTGTCGGGAGGATACTTTATAAAACAAGGTAAATTTTTTTTAATTTTTTTTTTTATTTTTACACACATATTTTGGTTTATCTTCCTTCTACAATCATTATCTGAAAATTAATGACTCAACTTCAAAGTCACCCTGTATATATATATATATATATATATATATTCTTATTCGGTAATCTAGGTATACACGAAACTGTTGTGCTTAATAATTAGATGATATTATCAGAAATATTAGCACATTATATAGATGTACAACAGCTGCTTGAAATTTTATGACAATGTTGATAATTGAGATGCTTCTCGGACTTCCATTGTTTATAAGGTTTTTACCGTTTATACCACCGGCCACGTCATCAAATCTAATAAGTAGACAAGAAAGGAGCATGTTCTCCAGTTCACCTGATGGCGATTGAAGATCACATCAAAACTGTCCTCAGGAGAAACGTCGTGACTCAAGAAAACTTTATAGACAATAAAAGTCCGAGAAAAAGCATCTCAGACGTATAACAGCTTCATTGAAACTTTGGTATTTCTAGTTAAATTATGAAGCTTATCTCTCAGGGAAAACATTTAAAACTTTTGACTAGGTATGAACCCCACGTTACCATACTATTTAAAACGGTATCATTTTAAAACAATCAATAACATGTAATAACTGCTACGCACACAGAGTAGGTAATTTTATTTGCATGGTTATCATATGTATTAGTGATAAAATTGATACACTTGAAGCAAATATTCTAAATGTAAGATTATCATATTTGAATGCCCGCTTTGAAAATCCACTTCAGTCTCGACCAATAGGAATTCTCCAGCTGTACACACCGGTATCTGTAGCGGTGTCATTCACGTCGGCGACCTTGTTGCCATATTTAATTCATGTCATTATCCGTAGTTCTCACTTTGAAAATTCAGATAAACATTAATCAAATCCAAGCGAATAACCAAATTTCTGTGTTATGTACCGCGGTTATAATATGGTTCAAGATGACACACCTGTTGATGACGTCAGTTACTCGAGTGGCTTGAACGCGATGGTTTATCCGCGGTTTTGTTGCAAGTTATTTTAGAAAAGTGCGTATATAATTTCTGATTAATTGTATTATCACTTAATAATCGGTGTTTTTTCGTCTTCTACGGAGTATGGAAAGTTTAAAAAAGATACGTTCTATATATTAATGGAAGAAATGTTTTTTCAGATTTTTTTAATGGGGAACCATGGCTTTGTAGCTATGATAACTTTCAATTCTCTAAACTTTCCGCATGTCAAAGAAATATTTATTGATTTAGCAGAAATGATAGGAAAAAAGCGATGAAAAAAAGATATTAGCATATCCGTATACAGGTGGACATCATCAAGTGAGTTCATATGGTCATATTTTAATATTCTTGTGATATATGGCTACACAGCATACCTTGTTTAGCATAGGAACTAGATTTAAAGTGTCCCCAACAACAGTAATGATTATAACTACTAAGGTGCTCTACTTTATGCTAAAACTGAGGTCAGTCTGTATCCCAAAAATGAATATGAAGTACAATAAAGATATCCAATACCCGGCAAAATTCTAACTTGTCACATTTCAGATAATAACCAGAAATATAAAACTACTCCTGAGTTGGGTAAATACCACAATTTTGCGGTGATAACTATGACATAAAACAGCTGATTCACGACGTCACGGATCTTATAACCAAACTGATAACCACCTTCGGAACGGATAGGTAAATATCAATCCAACATGGTAAATACCATTTTTATTTGGTTATTCACTTGAATTTGATTATTATTATGTGATGGCCCATGGTGTAAAATTATAGCACTGGGGGCTGTATAATGCCATGGGGGAGATATACGCTTATATCGCTCAAGATACAAAATTTTATTTTAGCTAATAACAAACAGAATCTAGATTGGCTTTTAAGATAAATTAAAAATAAATAAATGACCGTCTGTTGTATCATCGGTAGTTGCACCGTTGCCTAGAAACGAATAACTCAGGACAACTCCTGAGTCAAGTGTTCAGCATCACTTGAAGTGGAGTCGATGTAGACCGAAAAGTGAGATCTAGCTGCCGTAAAATATCTTCATAAAGTATACTTTCCGCCCGAGCAAGATAAAGTTTAAACTTCCTACCTTTCCGTATTTTTTAATGTCTCCAGTGGAAATTTAGTCGAAAATATGTATGTATTAAGAGCTCAAAGTGCTACTTCACCTCTCGGGAAATAAGAAGATGTGAAGCGGAGCGAGGCGATATGTTTTACGAGAGCGGCGTTAATAATTTGTGTTCGAATTGTAAATAATGTTTCGCTACAATCAGAGTTTAACTTTTACTTATCTAATCATTGTAAAATTGGTTCGAATTCATGGATACAAATCAAATCACACGATGACACTTGGAATTCTTACCCAAGTAGTGACCATTTTTTTCTACGTTGTCGATCTAGACCGGAAAAGCTGTTATTGGCTATTGATCCCTGGAGAACATTACTCTGCCTTTCAAACTTCAAGCTTAGCGGTTTCAGAAAAATTAATTTTTTTTCTACGCATATCGAATGAAGGAACGACGATATGGCAATAACGATTTTAGAGAAAAACAACTATTTTTGACTCATTGTTAAGATGAACGCAACTATACAAGTGATGGGGGGCAAAAACAAATGTTATTACAAGAATGAAATATTTTATATGGAACAATGTCGCCTATAAATATAACTTTTATGACGCTAAATAATAGTGAGAATGTTTAATATGCTAAAAATGGCAGATCTTACTTTTACAAAGATTTTTACGAGTTTTGAGCTCCGTTCTGAATACCTAGGAGAAATCTAGAGATCCTCTTGAAAATTTCTTAGCATGGCAACGCCGCTAATTCGGCGGGCACTTCACCAGACAGAGGCCGAATCAGCCACGTAAATAGTTCCTTTACTACTCTCCACCAATCACCCGCCTTCCATCTGTCTGGATAATGCGACAGTCAAGACATACGGAACCTTTGCTTAGCGCTTATGACTTGTATAAACAGTGAGCTCAATAGAGGAAAGCGAGTCTGTGATAGTTGCTGTAATTCAGATTAGACACACACCTCTGAATATTTTTTTGGCATTCAGCGGATAAACGTGTGGCTTGTTTGACGTGTTGGAGAGTGGATTTTAAGAATTTAGCGTAAAATATGAAGTATTCTTTGGTATTAGTGATACTTGCGTATATTTACGCAGCCCAGGCAAAGTGTACTTTGAAGAAAAATTCGATGATGGTAAGTTTTCAATTTCCATCTATTATGAACTTGCTCACCGGCTCGGTGGCCTATACATTCTAGAAGAAATCATGCTTGGTAGGAAGTTAATAGGACTTCTTTTGCTTTCAGATTCATGGGAGAACGCTGGATATACAGTAAACACCCCGGAAAAGAGTTCGGAAAGTTTGTAAGGACTGCTGGGAAGTTCTTCAACAATGAAGAGAAGGATAAAGGTAAATTTCCTGATTGCTCAATAGTTTTCAGTTTTCGTTGCCAAAAATACTACAGTAATTCAAAATACTGGAAGTTGTATTATTTTGATTATTGGCATAGTTTCATTAATAAGTAATCAAGGGAAAAATGATTAATATGCAGACTTAAAACCTTGCAATGTTAGGAATGTTTAGACGCTCTGATAATAAGTCTGAGTCTGTGTAGACCACTTTTATTATGGAGTTAAGTTCAGAGTATTTTGGATATCTGAAAATGATATGTAGTTTTATCTCAGTGGTCAGATGTTAAGGCAAAGTCCAGGATTTGATCTATTATTATTTTCATGTTGGCACTACCAGGGCCTCAATGTAGGGGCTGCAATTGACTAATTTTGTGTAATTTATGGAGAGAAAAATGTAAATACCCCATTATGGAAAATATCAATGTTTTATGCCTATAACTGTAAATTGCATTATTAGAAAATCTAGCACTGACTATTCTGTTGAATTTAATTGATCTATAATTTTTCTCTCAAGCTACCTAGGTCACCCTAGCTGAAGATCTGAATTATAACTGGTAGGGTACTTGAGAAAACATCTACTGTTTCTCCTCTAAACAAAAGATGATATCGGAAGCTACATAAAGACAAAGAATCAAAAATGCCAGAAACATATACAGTGAAAACTTCAGAGATAAGTAAAAAACCACAAATCAAAGTTATTGGATTTTGTCAAGAATATGTAGAAGATGAGCTAATAAATACTATAGAATCACAAAATGAATCTTTTCAAGAAAATTTACATATGAGAGTAATTACAGTCAAGAAAATGAAAGCTAAATATCAAGGCAATTTTAGAAGTGGATGCTGTGACCTTTAAGTGGTTTTATGAACGAGGGTGTTATTTTTACTGTCATGTCTGTTTGCTTCTGTTTTCGAGTACAACCATTTGTTTTTGCGATGCGATAAATATAACCGGGTTTAACTACAACAAGCTAGATTCTGCACAAAATCAGGAAGATGAATTACTTGTGGATTAGAAGGACATTCAACAGAAAACTGTAGTACCTAGGATTACCTATTAATCATAGACCATTTGACAAAATTTGTGAAGTAATATGAAAGGAAAATTGAGCGTGAGAGGGAAAAAATTAGCAAATGAATAGCAACTACTAATCCCAGATTTGCAAGATGTGGCTAAATCTGTAAGTGATGAATATAACTCAATATACCAATTAAACATACAAGTGTCCTAAATAATATAGATGAAGCTCAACAGTTTTTAAGATGGAGAAAACCACTTGTACTATGTCTTACTGAAACACATGCTACAGAATACATCACGGATGGTGAATTACAAATTATTAATTATAATATCTACAGATGCAACTCCAACTCCAGACATACTAGAGGTGTAGTGATTTATGTTAACGACAAAACACAGATCAAATTATTCGATTGTAACCACTTTAGACTATGCGTACTGGTATGCACATATACAGTTCAAATTATTATGGAAACGTTATGATCTTTGTACTTTTTACCATTCACCAAACAGTGATGCGGATACATTTTTAATGTTTTTTGAAGAGAAATGCGAAGAAATGTGAAATTTTAGAACAATATAATACTTTTAGGTGATTTTAATTTAAATTATTATAGCAAAAGCATGAGAACAAGAAAATTTAAACAAAACCATAAATAACTATGGGTTCAAGCAAAAAATTGAAGAATACCAGAATAACATCATTATCAGAGACTTTGTTAGATCTTGTTATTGTAAATTTCGATTGTGAAGGGATTAAAGCTGTACATACACCTAAAGCTGGTGATCACAGTGGACAATGCTGCCCTTGCTAGGACTTTTTCTGATACAAAAATTGAAAAAATCGTTAATACTATTAAGTACGAAAAAAACTTAAACGAGAAATTGCTGGCTGCTATTGGAATTTTGGTGAAAACATGTAAAAAATATATGACAACATAATAAGAAATATAAAAACTTGTTTAGATCTTGCAACTGATAAAACAGTGATTTGCCCGACAAAAAATGCAGCCTGGTATAACAACAAAAATATTAAGGCAGCTCAAAATTTGAGAGACAAACAATACAATAAATGTATATTCGCAAAACTCTTAGGAATAAATGTGTGTATGTGATTAGAGAAGAAAAAAGAAATTCTACGATAAACAAATCGATAATAACAAGTGCGACAGTGTAAAGATGTGGAAGACTTTAAAAAGCTGCATGACTGTGTAAATCAAGTTCAATTCGAAGACAGTACCGAAACAAATTCTTTG